CCCCCCCACCCACCCCCATTTACGTACGAAGATTATATATAGATATACGTGTGTCATTCGCATTATTGGTTGTCAGATGCTTTGGCTTGTTTTTCGCTTCGCTACCTTATTATTCTTCTCTGCCGTGTCGGTTCGCTGTCCATAGACGTGCTCCCATTGGCTCATCCCTGGCCAGCCAGTTTTCCCCTTCGGCCCTCTTGGGTTCGCGCACGTGCGCACTTACTTCGCTCAGAACTCGTTTAAGCCTACGAATTACATCGGAGCGACCGCTAAAATGGCTGCACGGTACTACTCTCGCATAATATAAACCACCGGAGTCGTCGACTGTGTCCTTCGGAGTTTGTTTGACCTAGTTTATTTTTTTTATTTTTTATTTCTTTTTTTTTTCGAACAAAAATTACGACGTGGAGGACCGATGGTAATTCTGGTAACTGCTTGGTTTTTCCTTCCTCTTATCATCTCCCTAATCCTATCTGTTGTTATTATCTTATGACGTCGCACTAGTCGCTCATTAAGCACCGTGTACGATTTTGAATGACGATACCAAAGCTAAAGGCCATACCAGGCCAAAGGTATTGGAAGTTAACGATTTTTTCAAATTATCTTGCAAGCTCAGGGTGCTTCGAGATCCATTTTTTTGTTTTTCCAAATTGCCGACACTGCTTTACTTCGATAATCTATTTTTATAAGACGCTTCCTTGTTGTCCGCCTATATACGCGACCTAACGTACGCGTCTATATGCACCTCGTGATTAAGGCTATCTCGTGTTTAACGATATACACGTGAATTGCGGATACACGGAGAGCCAAACGTTCGTCACGAATGAATGCGCGATTCACGAGGTTTCAACTCGTCATCGGCTCGTCACAGGGTAGGAGCCGCGGATCGATGGGAGACCACAGATTTTCTCCGTGTGCTTCGCCATTTTCTATACGGTCATATAGAACGTTTATTTATGTGTACATATATATATATATATATATTACTTAGTAAATGCAACTCGGAAATTCGAATTCACGTTTATCTACGCGAATGACAACCCCTGGCAACTAATTCCACTACGATGCTAGGTTTGCAGAACGATCCGTCACGGAGTCTCTCTCGCTCAATGGAGATTTCTATCTCTGGTTAGTTAGATGCTCGAATATCCGCACGGACTGCTTCGGCAACCTGAAATTGTCAGTTCGGTACATAGTTGAGGCGCGCGCTGTGCGATGTCGCTGCGCGTTGTGTACAACGGCCAGAGCGAGAGGGAAAGGGAGAGAGAGAGAGAGAGAGATATCATCGCCGTGAACGTAGTACCAACTCGAGGACACACTCTTTAAAACCGCACGAACCCGTGTAAATATAACTTGCTGTGTACAACGGAGGAGTCTTGATTCTTGCAGTAAAATTAATTCATGAGAATAACGACAATCGGTAGTACAGTTTACGTGCCAGTCTCTCTCATCGAAGTCGTCTTGACCGATTGGTATGCACCGGGTAGCCATTTTTCTTAACTGTCTCTTTTTCCCGAGAAACCTCATCAAGGCACGATACACACGTAGATCGTTTCGGACTGCCAATGCGCCTCGGAGCATAGTCGTTGAGATCGTTATCGCGTGGCGAAGCTTTTCCAGATTTTTTTGTTTTGTTTTTCTTTTTCCGTCAATTTGGGGCTTAACTCCTGTGAGGTCTTGGAACTCGTAGAGTGGCCTCGTCGACCATCCTTCCTGTAACGTCGGCGGCTAGGATCGCAGCGGTGGGGGGGTACGGGACGGGAGGTGGTGTAGGGAGATACCACATTGAGGAACGCTGAAGGAAAAGGCCAACAGCGACGGCCGCGTCCGGCACTACCCTAACTTCGTTATCGACCGGTGCCGATCGTGAGTTTCGAATAATCATGCATTCAATCGAGGCTCTCTCTCTCTCTCTCTCTCTTTCTCTTTTTCTCTCTCGGTCTCTCTCCTCGCTGGTCTCTCTCTACGCTCTCCCGTAGCCGAGCAGTAGTTCCGGTATGGCCCTCTCCGCGTCAACCCACACAATCCGCGCTGCGTTCTTCTTCTCGACGAAGTCTCGTTTCCCCGTTTCCCTCCCGTCAGCGCTCTCCCCTCCGCCTCCCGCTTTCTCACTGACAGTCCCTACCAGACCTCCTCGCCGCCCCTCCCTCGGGCTCACTCGCTCCCACTGTTGACTCTTTTTACACTGCACTATCTGTCCTTCCCTTTTACCTAACTCATTGCCGTCTGCTCCCCCCTCTCTCTCTTTCACAGTCTAACTCTATCTCACTCGCACACCACCCTCTTGCTTTGTCTCCCCTCTCTCCCCTGGCCCTGGCGCGCGCAAGGACGACAAAGCGCACGGGGGCGGCTTTTCGTGCCGCGTGGCCCAGTTCTTCGGCTTGAAGCTTAAAGAGCCGCTTGAAAGGTGTGGCCAATTGAGCCTGAAGTTGATATTGGAAGCGCGGACTACAGGAGACGGGAAGGGGGGGTCGGTGTCACGTGGCCCCTGAGTATCTCCTTTCTCTCTCTTATTCACTCTGTTTATCCTGTTTCCTCTCTCTCTCTCTCTCTCTGTCTCTCTCTTTCGCCCGTACACGCACATACACCATCGACTCTTTACGCTCCTCGGTGTATCCTTGTAGTACGGGGGGCCCCGGTATACGCGTGTACGTGACTGTCAAGTGCGCGGCCCCGTACTATGCGAGAGAGTGAACCGGACCGATGAGTTCAGTGAGAAGCACCCGAGGTCCAGTCGCTCGGATTGTTGCTGGTCGTCGATGTGTGGGTGAGTGAGCGTGTAAGTGAAACGTGCAAGAGGACCAGTGCGCCGCGCGTCACGTATATATACCTTATTGCTCGCACTGTACTGTTGGCCAGTCTATACTCTTGGCACCGTGTGTACCTCTGGGATCGTCGGAATCGGATCGGTCAGCCGGGCGTGCTCGTCTTATACGTCCTCAGGTAGGTTGGGACTGTCCGCGGAGGGGAGAGGGGGAGGGCCAGCGTCGATTCAGAGACACTCGTTACTACTAGTTTAACCGGCAGGTAAAAGCGATTCGATCGATTCGGCACCGATTACATCGTCACTGTGCGTGTGTGCATTGGTAGTGGATCTGATGGCGGAATTATTTTTTTTCAGCCCCCCCCCCCCACCTTTTCTTTCGTTCTCTCTTGCAGTGAAAGTAACGGGTCTGGGGGAAGTAGACTCGATAAATGACGTACCAGGCTAACCACGTGGCCGCTGACTCGCCTGTCAAAATATTCACGTAACCCGGTATCTGCCCGTCGTCCAGTGGAAGATACCTGACGATCAGCTGATTGTTCTTTTTCATATATATATATATATATTTTTAATAATTTATTTATTTTCGCTCCTACCCTCCTTTGTCCGCGTGCTACGAAAATTAACTCGATTTCCTTACCCGAGGGCCTTTATATACCAGCATCATGCCGAATACACCCTTTCACGAGTCACCCCTCATGCCTTTCCGGAGAACCCTTCGTCGCCATCCCCTCCCCCCTCCTTCACTTTGCCCTCGCCAACCCAAAACACGGGCTGGGGAGGGGGTGGGGATCTGTTCCAGTCGCGACGGATCGATCACGACGAATCAGCTCCGGCTCGTCAGCTGATCTCGACCTCTCTACGTACATACTTGCCATTTTACACGCAGTTACCTCGAAGGGCTACGTCGCGCTTCTTCCGAGCTTTTACGCTTTCTCGTTAATCTTTCTCTGTCCCTGTCCATGTCCCTGTCTCCTCGGGCCACGAGAGTCTCGTCGTCGTCGCTGAAGCATCCGGGCTGTCGGTCTCTGAGAATCGGGGCGGCCTGTGAACAGTCCTGTATACATGTATAGCATCCAGAAGGGTACTTACTTCACGCTCCTGGTATGTACTCTCTATCTCTCTCTCTCTCTCTCTCTCGGGTATGGCTGGTTCGGGTACCTACTACGCGGTATGTAACCCCTTATCGATCGGTAAACTTCCGTACACCCGGAACCTCCTAATCGTATACGTATAGTCAACGACGGAGTCTGGATAGCTGCTGGTTTTCGTAAAATTGTCCAGAAGTATATATAAATATTTGCAGTGTACGTTGGATATTGTCCAGAAGTATATTATGGGGCGACGTCCTTCTCACCTGAGTCTCATACCGACTTTTCTATCTTCTATCTAGGACACTGCGTGGTCTATGGTTACGGTCTGTCAATCGTGATTCATCGATCCGTAGATTTAAATGCTGTTTGGTTTTTCGTAACTTTTTTATTTTGCTTATTTCAACCCATCACTCCCCTAAGCACCGCGCGTGGCGAATAGTCGGTATCTTCGAACGGGCGACCTCGAATTTAAATTTCGTAACTGACTGTAGGATCGTGCGAAGTCTTGCGTAGCGTCGTCTTTACCTACTCGTGTATACAGGCGTCTTTCGATCGGACGCCATCTTTGAGAACGGACGATTATTAGGATATTAGTTGTTTAGTTTCGTTGGTTTATTACGGAAAACTTTTTTTATCGCTCGCCTCATAGATCCAGTCGGATTGATCGGGATTCAGCCGACGGATCGAGTGACTCGGTCGTTGTCTCAGTGGCCTCTGATAGGTAGCACGTGTCGTAGCCAGAGGCGAGTCGAGAGGACAGCCCAATTAAGAATACGTCGTTCACCGGGAACTATTTGGTTTGGCGAACTATTGATACCTAATATCATCGCTGATGGCGCTGCAGTCGGTTTCTATTGTGTCGACAACTTGTGAGAATCAGGCCATTCTGTGCAGTAACCGTTGATTCCAATGTGTACGATCGATGACTCAG